GGGGGGGGGGTTCTGTCACGCCCGGCTCATACGATCCTCGTGTGTGCCACGCCCCCTCATTACATCGTGTTAATTCCTGATTATATTCACCTGTTGCTTGTTCAGTTTAGCCTGTCTTGTGTATTTAGTCCGCGTCCGAGTTTATTTCCCCAGATCAGTCATTGTGTAATGGCTAGTGTTCGTTTGCCTGGTGTGCCTCCTGATATGTAAATAAACCCCGTTCGTCCCTACTGCCGTCTCTACTCGCCTGCTTCCCAGCTCGTGTACCAGCACAAACGTGACAGTTGGATTTTTCTCTTTTTTTTCAGTGTGAGATGAAGCTACTTCACCAAAAGGTGGATTTTACAAATCTTTACAAGGGGTGCGAATAATTGTGGAGGGCACTGTATATTGTTTATTTACAACACTGTATTTGTACTAAATGGTGGTAAGTTAATTGTGTCCTCTACTGTGAACACCCGTGTAAAATAATTATCAAACTCATTTACTATATCAATTTCATTTTCAATTATGAGGCCCTTACTATCCTGCAGATTAGTGATTTCAGCCTTTAGAGCTCTTTTGGAGTTAAAATATTGGAAGAAACTTTTAATGTCACCATTAGCTTTCAATGCAATCTTCTTTTCGACATTCCTCTTAACAAGTGTAATGTTATTTTTTAACTCAACCTGTAGACTTAGATCAGGGGTGGGCAATCCTATCTGTAAAGGGCCGGTGTTACGGCTGGGCAAGAAGGGAAACAGAGATCCAGGAGTGCAGGGATAACAAGGCTTTAATGACTCGGGTTTGGAATAAGCACAGGAGGGGTGCAGCCCTGCAGGGAGATGACACACCGGCACCTCAGCCCAGGTAACTAAGGCGAGAGCAAAAGGCATGAGTGAGATCGCCCACTCGGAGAGCCGGTAGGAAGGTACAGAGGCGGCATGCTGTAGTCGTGGTCATTGTCCGTAATCCGGGGTCAATGCCTGGGGAATCCGTCCGACAAAGAAACACAGGGACAAGGAACATGAAGAGCAGAGAATAGGAGAGGCTGGACTCGGCAGGACAGGTAAGTCTAGTACGTGAGCTGGTCTGAGGAGGGAAGGCAATAAGGTAAGAATCATACACGGGGCAGGTAAGGTGGGGAGAAGTGGGTAGACGGAAGACTGGAAAAACGCTCGGTATGGCTTCGTAACATCAGCACAATACTTCACGAGGAGTGTTGGGGTTTGCTATTCTTTTAAAGGTGATTATTTGTCTGTTGATGCGTAGCACCTGTCTGGTCCCGCTCCTGTGGGCGTGACAGCCAGTGTGTATGCAGGTTTTTGGGATAACCTTTAAGTCAGCTGTTCAAACCCAGATGTGAGGACTCTTCAGCCAATCAGTCCTCTAATTAGTGACCTAATTAGGGAGTTGCACCGATAACCTGCATACGCACCGGCCCTTTGCAGATAAGATTGCCCACCCCTGACTTAGATACTCCTGCTTTATTTTGAAATCATTTGTTATTTTCCACCTTCGTATCTCCAGTGTACAGTGTGGAATACCTGGTAATACTCACCTCACTACCCCCAGTTTACAGTGTGGAATGCCCAGTAAGACTGACCTCAGTATCTCCAGCGTACAGTGTGAATCCCCCAGTCCAACAGAGACCATCTTCACTCCTGAATCCTGCAGATCATTGTCACTCAGGTCCAGCTCTCTCAGAGGTGAGGAGTTTGATCTTAAAGCTGAAGCCAGCACTTCACAGCATTTATCTGTGAGATCACACCAGTCCACCCTTTAAAAAGTGGATTCAAAAGTGTTTTAATTTTTTTTACTGCAGCACTGTATTCAAATGAGAAGAATAGGGGGCATGACATAATGGATTTTCAGAAAACAATTAAATTACTAAAGACTATTTTAACAATCATCCCAATTCTGTTTGGTGTCCATTATATTTTTGTCCATAACACGTTAAAGTCAGCATATTTAACTGTAACAGTACCGTTAACTTTGCTCAGCAACACAAATGTTTTGCATGGATTATATGGTTGAATGGATGTTTCCTGCATCACTGCTTAATTATTTCTAGCATGGATTGAAGCCTAATAAGTTTGTGGTACATAAGGAAGTAGGAGAAGAAAAAAGAAGCTGTTCCCGTTTATTATGTAACTGCTGCAATGCATTGTGGGTTTTCTTGATGTCCAGTTTCTTTTTTGTAAAATGCATATTCTGTACTCACTTCAACTTCTCCAGTTTACAGCTGGGATCCTCCAGTACAGTAGAAAGCAGCTTCACTCCTGAGTCTCCTGGGTGATTGTAGCTCAGATCCAGCTCTCTCAGGTGTGTGGGGTTTGACCTCAGAGCTGAAGCCAGGGAAGAACAGCCTTCTTCTGTGACTCTACAGCCTGACAGCCTGCAGAGAGAGAGAGAGAGAAACTCCCCAATAAATAATATCACCTCACCATTACAAGTATTAAATAAATGTGACTGCTCCAATAAATTCTTCAAGAATTACAGTTTAGTGTCTAAGAGAAGGCAGCCCCCCTCCTCGCTTTCCCTTAGCTAATTGCTCACTATCTCCTCTGTATAATGTGGAATTCTCATTAATACTGACCTCAGTATCTCCAGCTTACAGTGTGGAATACCCAGTAATAGTCACCTTAGTGTCTCCAGTTTACAGTTTGGAATACCCAGTAATACTGACCTCAGTATCTCCAGTTTACAGTGTGAATCACCCAGTGCAGCAGAGAGCAGCTTCACTCCTGAATCCTTCATGTTATTGTTATTCAGGTCCAGCTCTCTCAGGGGTGAAAAGTTTGATCTTAGAGCTGAAGTCAACACTTTACAGTGTTTATCTGTGAGATTACAGCTGTTCAGCCTGGAAAAGAAAACATTTTAAGACACAAACATATACACATCCTACACTTTAGCTATATACAAAACATTAAAATAAACATTTGTTTTCAATATAATTAGCAGCACAACTTATATTTCAAAATGAATTATAGTCTACAGAGTGTTCTGTGCATCCTGGCAATTTGCTGCAGTCATATGGTCACTAATTGTGAGTCAGTGCATCTTAGCTCAAAACTAAAGGTAAAAACAAGTACAAACTACAGCCAAAAATATATACAGGATATACAGAAATATATAGGAACACATCAACAGCAAGATGGACGTGAACCCATAACAGTCAGACCAGTGCTTCCAGTGCAGTCCTCAGCCATCTTTCTGCCAGGTGTCCCTACACTTGACACGTATCACTGAAAGGAGATGTGAACATCCCCAGCAGCTAATGCAGCAGTGACTGGCACTTGGATTCCTGATCCCAAGAGTAAAATCCATTTTCCCTGTATTGTTAAACCTGGGAACATGTCAAATCACCAATTAGGTCTGAGTGATATGACGATATTATCGGTAATCAGTGAAATCAGACAAGTATCCTGGTGCTGATATCTGACAGTGACTAACCGGCGATTATAGTCTTTCCTGGAGAAACGCGTTTAGGCTACATACAAAGCAAGATAACAGAAGGACTCATGATTTGTTTTCAGTTCAGCCTTCTAGCCTAAGATTCTGAAGCAGTTAAAATAAGAAACATTGCTATTATAGCGCAGAATTTAACAAGCATTGTCCCTTGCAGTAACTGTGCGTTCGCCATCCTTGTAAGTTCAGTATTGTCACATCACCAACTTCTACCTTCGAGTCAGCAGCTAGAATGTCAGCCATTCAAGTGCAGCTTTCTGGTGGGAATTTTGAGCTTCTCTCTCTCTCTCTCTCTCTCTCTCGTCTATCTATCAGAATCAATCAATCAATCAATATTTATATAGTTTGTTTTAACCACATGGTTTACAAAGTGCTTTACAAACATTTAAAAAGAAAGAAATTCAAATATGCACAGAATACATAACAATAAGCACAAAAGAAATAAAAATAAAGTAAAAATACATTAAATAAATAAATAAATAATAAAATGCCATCATTAAGTAGGGGCCCCTTGTATGTTTGTATGTTTGTTGTAGTGTGTAACCTCCATTTCTTTAATTAAGCATAATATTTCCTGTAATCACTTATCCTGTTCCAGGTTGTGGGGGGGTCTGGAGCCTATGGGTGCAAGGCAGGGAACAACCCAGGGTGGGGTGCCAACCCCTGGCAGGGCACACTCACACACCGATGGGTAACTTGGTAACTCTAACTAGCCTCAGCATGATTCTTGGATGTAAGGGGAAATCAGAGCCCCCATAGAAACCCCACAAGGAGCCAGGGGGGACGCAAACCCAGGACCTACAGATATGAGGCGACAGTGCTGACCACTGAACCCCCACACCGCCCCTCTATCTTCTTCTTTTTCTTCTTCTTCTTCTTATTATTATAATTATTATAATACGCGGACAGCTTGCTCTACAAAGAGCAAGTTGAGGGAGGCGTAAAAACAATTTCCCCACGGGGATCAATAAAGTACCAATTATTAATTATTATAAACAAAGCGACTTTTGACTATTGGAGCTACCAGCTATTTGACTATTGGAGTGTCGCAGTTGCCTGACAACCAACTGACCAATCACAGCCCGACTTCCAATCGGCCAATCACAACGTGAACCGCTGTTCCTCCGGGCAACATCGTCCTGCACTGAAAAAAACAATGCTGTGTCCCTCACTGATGCACGAAAATACGCAGTTTGTCCCATATTTTCACACATATTTCCTACTCCTGAGCTCTGCAAAATTTATCATGGGGCACACCCCTCCCCCTACTTGGCAAGTTTCATAGTCAGGGAACCGACGTTACACCCCAACACAGTTCTGCATTCTGTTCACATCTTTTAAAAAAAAAAAATGATAAAATTAATGTAGAGCTGTATCTATTGACTGGGCATGCTTCTGCAATTTACAGTTAATAGTTACATAGACAAATTTCATAGAAGTGTGCAGCCTTGTGAGGAAGATGTCTGTGTCAGTAACGCGCTCTGGCCCCATCCCTGCTAGATGTGGTGATGAAATATACAGCAGATTATCGTCGCTGCATCGCTGGCTGTCAGAACGGTGCCCAATAAATGTGGGTTATATAGACAATTGGTGAATGTTTAGGAGCTTTTGAAGAGAGACGCTATTCACTCCTCTTGGGCTGGTGCCGATCTCCTGTCCAAAAGCATAGCTCATAGTCTCCAGGCAAATCGCTGACTACCCAGAGCCAAGTCCAGGCGGCAGGCAAACCGGCATAACCGACCGCCTGCTAGTCGCTTAGAGTCGTCACCTAGGGTTCATGTTATTGGGACTGTGTCTGTTCCCCGCACTTTTAATCATGGAGGTCTATTCCACTGTAGTGTCTGTCATAATAACTTAATAAAAATTAAAGCAAATCCATTATTAGATAATAGGTGTAATGCAAGGCTAAAACTTGGACTTTTGAATGTAAGATCGCTGGCTCCTAAGGCGCTACTAATACATGAAATGATTACTGACTTTAGTCCTGGTCCTTATGCCTTACAGAGACCTGGCTTAAACCGAATGAATTTATGGCACTAAATGAATCCAAGAGCCCGTGTAATTCAACATTATAGAGCGAAACAAGTTGATCAGTGGTGAATAAATTATGTTTAGACACTGTTATCAATGCTCCTAGAAAGAGTGGATAAATTAATGTGTTTTATGTTCCAAAAAGAAATAGTACGGTATGAATTAGATCTAGATGATGCTATATTAAAAGACACTAGTTTATGAACAGATACAGCAAGATCAGCAGCAGAGCAGCAGATAAGATCAAGGATATGTCCTTTAGAATGAGTGGGAAAATTAATATACTGCTGTAGCCCACAACTGTCCAAACAAGATGTAAAGTCCCTCACAAGAGAGTCATTGACATTGTCCATGTGGATATTAAAATCACCCAGCAAAATGACGTTAGGAGACATAGAGCTGATTGTCTTCACAAAGTCAGAAAATTCAATTAAGAAGTGCTTATTGGGTCTGGGTGGTTGATAAACAGTAACAAGAATAGTGGGAGTAGGTCCATTGATTTGCAGGACAATGGATTCAAATGACGTATGTATCGACACAGTCACCGAAGATGCGCTCCGCCGCTCGCTGTACAGAATTGCGAACATGCCCCCTCGACCGGAAGCAGGAGCTTGGCAGGTATAAAAAATACAGTAATTGGAGAGCTATCAATCCTGTGAAACAGGATTTTAACAGAAATGTTTGTTTGAATGCTTTATGAATAATGATGCTTCATTCATCCCCATGGGGAAATTGTCTTTTCGCCCCTCCCATCTTGCTCTCCAAGAGACACGCCGACACATATACAGGTGAGAGGAAGTGTGGGGGTCACAGCGCAGGGTCGGCCAGCATCCAGCGCCCCCACAGCTCAAGGACCCGGCGATGACATCACTCTGCCGGCCAGGAGATCTGAACCAGCGACCATCCACTCACGGACACAGAGTCTGAACCCAAAGAGTCACGCATCACACCCAGAATTTACAGAAATGCTTCCTATAGTATCCAGAACTGAAACGAATATGAGTGGTTTTCCCCACTATTAATGAAAACTGGACCATTCTGTATGATGCTGTATCTTTGGTTATTTGTTATACAAAGGATGGTCATGGATTTTTTTGTTTTTACTACATCACTACCTTTTTATATTAATATACAACCTAGGTTGAAAAAAAAACCTTGTTGTTGATAAAAGAGAGGAAATAAATTACATATATACATCATCATTTTATATGGTAAATACTGTTTATCTATTACTGCCAGACTAGATGTGTCGTCACAGCCTCAGCCAGGAGCAGCTGTGGCCAGCAGAGGCCGCCAGTGAGCAGCCAGAGACAGCAGTCATACGGAAGCTCCCAGCTCTGGGCTCCATCACATGAACACACCTGCTGACAATAACACTCACATACCACTTATACACCCTGTGGACAAAGAGCCCTCACTGTTTCTATAGCAGGTTAGGATGCTGTGCCTGTGATCAGAAGGCAGACTGGATGGGAACGGAAACGTCACTTTTTTGTTTGTTACTACATCACTACCTTCAGTCATTATAAAATCTGTGGTCGGGATTATCAAACAAACACCCCAGTTATTAACCCATGAGGATTAATAATGTATATTATACATTTCAAACGTTATTCATGTATTACTGCTAGACCAGACATGATTTCCCATCCCCACGTCACTTACAGAGCCGTCCTGGAGTTCTTGACCACAGGCAGCAGCCTCCAGTGCTCTTTATCTGATCTGATGTATTTCTTCAGATCAAACACATCCAGCTCCTCATCTGACATCAGCATCACAAAGGCCAGAGCTGAATACTGTGCAGGTGAGAGGTCTTCTGCTGAAAGGCTTCCTGAATCCAGGTATCTTTGTACTTCCTCCACTAGAGAATTGTCACCCAGTTCATTCAGACACTGGAACAAGTTTATGGTCCTTTCGGGAAATAAATTATTCTTTATTTTCTCCTTCATGTATTTGGTTATTTCCTTAATGTTATGTGAGCTGGTTTCTGTCGGCCCCAGTAGCCTTTGTAACAGAGTCTTACTGGAGTCTGTTGAGAGGCCCAGTAGGAAGCGGAGGTAGAGGTCCAAGTGTCCATTCTTGCTCTCTAATGCCTGATTCACTGCAGTCTTCAGCAGGTCAGCTGATGAGTTTGACAGAAACATATATAAAGCAGCGAGATACTCCTGGATGCTCAGATGCACAAAGCAGTACACCTTATCCTGATACAACCCATATTCCTCCTTAAAGACTTCTGTGCACACTCCAGAGTAAACTGAAGCTTCATTGACATCAATGTCATTCTCTGTCAGATCTTGCTCATAAAATATGAGATTGCCGTTCTCAAGGTTATCAAAAGCCAGTTTACCAAGTTTTAAAAGGAATTCCTTGCTGTATTCATTAAGCTTGGTTTCATAGTTTTCCATATACTTGTCATTTTTTAAACTGGATTGAAAGATCAGGAAGTGTGTGTACATTTCAGTCAGAGTCCTTGGAATTTCTCCCCTGTCAGTCTCACTAAAGAGTCTCTCAAGAACAGTGACTGAAATCCAGCAGAACACAGGTATGTGGCACATGATGAAGAGGCTCCTTGATGATTTCACATGTGTGATAATCCTGCTGGCCAGGCTCTGATCACTAAATCTCTTCCTGAAATACTCCTCCTTCTTGGCATCACTGAACCCTTGTATCTCTGTCACCTTGTGGACACACTTAGCAGGTATCTGGTTGGTTGCTGCTGGCCGGGAGGTTATCCAGAGGAGAGCGGATGGAAGCAGATTCCCCTTAATGAGGTTAGTCAACAGCACATCCAGTGACGTTTTTTTTGTTACATCAAACCAGCTCTCATTGTTCTGAAAATCTAGAGGAAGGCGACACTCATCCAGACCATCAAAGATGAACAAGACTTTGTACCTAAACAGCTCAGTGGATTGAAATGATTTCAGTTCTGGGACAAAGTGGTGAAGCAGTTCAATCAGACTGTATTCAACCTTAATCAAATTCAGGTCCCGGAAAGGAAGAGCAAATATGAAGTGAACATCCTGGTTTGCTTTTCCATCCACCCAGTCGAGAATAAATTTCTGCACAGAGACTGTTTTCCCGATACCTGCCACCCCTTTAGTGAGTACAGTTCTGATAGGTGTCTTACGCCCACATAAGGGTTTAAATATATCATTGCACTTGATTGTAGTATCTTCTGTTCGCCATGTCTTGGATGCTGTTTCAATCTGTCTCACTTCATGTTCATCATTGACTCCTCCAGTCCCACCTTCAGTTATGTAGAGTTCTGTGTAAATCTCACTGAGAAGTGTTGGCTGTCCTTCCTTAGCTTTCCCTTCAAATACACACTCACATTTCTGCTTCAGGGTACATTTGATTTCCTGCTGATATTGCAGCATGAGCTGTCCTGAAAAGAAATGAGAGGAAAATGCACTAATTCTCACTGTGATCTTGACCGGTATGAGAGGAAGAATATTTTTCAAAAACACACTTTTTTCACATACATATCCAGATATTTCCATGTGACTGTGAATGTGAAACTCAAAGTTTTACCATACATATTGTACTGAAACACCACATACAGGTCTGTGCATAAGCCTTAGGCAGCCAAAGGAAATGTTTAAAGTCATTTATCTAGGCAGTAAGTGTATATTTGCTCAGAACAAAAAAAAAAAACAAACAAAACCCTTTTTCAGCTCCCAAACCTCCTCAGGGGCACCACAGCCAGTTCATGTGTTTGCTAAATTTCAACACCAGCTCACTTCATTAATTAAGGAAATTAGTTTAAAAACTAATGAGATACTGATTAGCCACATGAGGTGTGGTAGAGGTCAAGTAAAAAAATACATGGGTGTATTGCAGCATCTGCAAATACAGGCGTGACTTCAGGAGAGTTTTCAAATTGCTAATACACATAACATACATATTATAATAGTTCTACACCAACATGAAGACCATTTAAACATCCTTTTCTCTGGCTGCACAATATTGTACATGTACATAATGTTATGAGTTTCTTACTCTCCAGCATGTCAGCGAGATCATTTTGCTTCATGGTCCTCAGGATGTACAGTGTGATCTTCAGAGCTCCCTCTCTACCACAAATCTTCTGCATCTGACCATCACCCTCCAGGTCATTGTCCTCCTCCAGCTGAGGCTCAGAGCATTCTGGGTAATTCTGATCTAGGTACCTCACAAACTTCTTCAGCTCATCCTTTAGGAACTTTACGGCTTTTTCCTCTAGTGACTAAAATACAGTCAAAGATAATTATTGCTACTTGCACCAAAACCTTTTCAGAGTTTAATTTGTGAATCATATAGTTTAAAATATATTTCCTTTAACATGACAAATTTCCTATTATACAACTGCATAAAATATAAGCTAATTCATGTAACAGCTAAGAAAATATATATCAGCAATAAATACAAACCTTCAATATGGATGATAAACCCGATTTATCATGTAGCTCTGAACTGCATTCTTCCATTTGGTCTCTGTGAATAAAGCAGAAACATCTCAATTCATCTGCACAAATATAACAGAAAGACTGAAAATCTCCCCATTAAAAATGTTGTTACTGCAGATACATAATAACCTTGTGGTATATTAGTTTGGAAAGATGTAACTGCCATGTTAAGCTTTATTCACTAGGGCGGCTTCGTAATTCAGCAGAAGAGAACCAGTGACATCAGGCTCCACCACACATAGACACAGCAGGCAGGAAGGACAGTTTTCTATGCAGCCCTTTGTACCCAGTGACATTTAGAGTGATTAACTTGATAAGCAGAGCTAAATACCAGCATTTGATTCAGTCAATAAACTGGTTGAATAGCCTGTGAATTCATGATGGTCATTTATAGAAAGCGGAATATTAATATTGTGACAAATACATTTTGACATTGAGGTATCCAGCCTTGTGTATAACAGCAGTGAAAACAGACGCAAGACAGATGTAAAATAGTGTGGATTTTCTGTCCACGGTCAAATCGCCATTGGGTACATTATTGATGGGTGAATAAAATCTAAATAAGAGCTTTGCTGGAATGGGAACTGTGCAGTGGGATGAGGAGCATCACTGGCTACAAGCAGCCAGGAAACACTGTGGTGGAAGGGAGCAGGTACACGGCTAATGGGCTAAACCTGTCCTTCAGCTCTACAGGCTAATGGGCTAAATCTGTCCTTCAGCACCTACAGACTAATGGGCTAAATCTGTCCTTCAGCACCTACAGGCTAATGGGCCAAATCTGTCCTTCAGCACCTATAGGCTAATGGGCCGAATCTGTCCTTCAGCACCTACAGGCTAATAGGCTAAATCTGTCCTTCAGCACCTACAGGCTAATGGGCCGAATCTGTGCTTCAGCACCTACAGGCTAATGGGCCGAATCTGTNCTTCAGCACCTACAGGCTAATGGGCCGAATCTGTGCTTCAGCACCTACAGGCTAATGGGCCGAATCTGTGCTTTAGGACCTACAGGCTAATGGGCCAAATTTGTCCTTCAGCACCTACAGGCTAATGGGCCAGATCTCTTCTTCAGCACAGACTAGCTATATTTACTAAAACAGAAGAAAAAAAGAACAGGCATTTCTTGTTCCTACTTGGGCTCATAGCCCACATTCATAGCTATACATTAAAGACTCTATCAGCACCATATCTGAGGAATGGCCAAGCCCGCGGGGGAGGGGGCTGGGGAGTCCATCCGAGGTCAGCTTGGGCTCGTGCCCAGGGTGCGTAGGGGTCGCCCTTGGCTACGGCGGCCGTTAAGCGGCGCTATCTGCTCCCGTAACACCCTTAATGGTGGCCGTACATCCGGCGGCTGGCCTTTAGCTTTAGCACATAGCATTTATCGTGGTCTAATTGTTTACATCACAAAAACCTGCCATTTTAACAGGGGTGAGAACACTTTTTATATTCACGGCAGGGGCTGGTCTTGGGCGCTGGGTAAGTGAGCCACTTTATGGCTGCGGGGGCTCATGGAATCAGCCCCATGGTGCTGAAGCCCACCCAGCTCAGTGGGTCCCACAGTACCTGGCCTCCCGCTCCCTGAGTCTGAAGACGGTGCCCCAGCTCTGGAAGACACCCTGAGTGGTCCCTGTTCCAAAAAAAGGGAGCTGGAGCTCCCCACTGAAACAGCATCAACCCGGTAACAGACCAGCTGGACCCCCTGTAGTTTGCCTACCAGGCAGACATAGGTGTGGATAATATTCTGATCCACATGCCCCACAGAGCTCACTCCTACCCAGACAAAGCCAGCACCACAGTCAGGATCATGTTCTTTCACTTTTCCAGGGCCATTAGCACCGCCTACCCTCTCCAAGTTTCCAAGACTGTGTGCCGAAGATGGTGGTGAACAACATTGGGGCACCTCAGGGCACTGTCCAGTCTCTCTTCAGCCTGCTGTAACATGCCAGTCAGCATATGGAGGACGGGGGCCAGTCAGCCTGATGTTACTGTAACATGCCAGTCAGAGTATGGAGGATGAGGGCCAGTGAGCATGATGTTAATCTTGCCCCATTGTCCATACTGAGGACACAGGGGGCCCTGATACTCAGCTCACAGCTTAATCTCTGAAGTGACCCTGTTTTAAGCTGGCACTGTACACACCAAGGAGCACGGCGTGTACCAAGTGCCCCAGGCGGCCGGCATGTACCAAGTGCCCCAGGCGGCCGGCGTGTATCAAGTGCCCCAGGCGGCCGGCGTGTACCAAGTGCCCCAGGCGGCCGGCGTGTACCAAGTGCCCCAGGCGGCAGGCGTGTACCAAGTGCCCCAGGTGGCCGGCGTGTACCAAGTGCCCCAGGTGGCCAGCTTGCACTCTATATGCCGAGGGGCCTGAGGGCCCAGAATGTTAATGCTCGCTGTATGTGGAATGGCCCCCAAGGCTCCAGGGGGCGCTATTTTGGAGCCTATTTCTGTTAACCCTCTGGGGTCGATTATGTCGTCGGCAACATCACATACTTTTCGTGTCTATTTCAGTTTACATCTTGCTGAAATCTTAATGTAGAATCATGAAAAAAACGCTGGCTAAATCCATAATCCGTCTTCTTTGTCCATTGTCAAAAGTATTAAAGTTTTTTTAATTAGGTTAAATCGGCAAAAAAGTAAACCATGTCATCTTACTTTGTTTTACCTGCATCGGGGGCGTGTAGTACCGCTCTCACCCGAAGATCGCTATTCACATTCTAAATAGCCGCATTAGCGTGTATTCAAATCGCATTCGCATGGTAATTTGATCAACAGCGCAACAGTGAAACGTGATCCAGATACATCCCCTTCAGCGCCATAAAAGTGGGTTGGGGACGTGGCCAGGTGACAATGGCTCATTCATACACATGAAAGTTGCTACATATCCAATGAAAGGAGCCAGAAATAGTGACATGAGTTAGGTTTTTCTTATTTATTTATTTATCCAAATGAATGTTGCATCTACACCATTTAGTCATCTTCATGTAGCCAAGACTTTGGTGATCAGATATCTGCGATCAAAACAGTCAGCATTGCTTACTATGTACTTTTATAATGTTTCTGCAAGTATTCCAAACTGCATTTTGCAATGTCTATACTTTGATGTCAAATTACAAACTTAACAAAAATCTGACATATTTACAATATATAGTAAAATAAAGGTGAGTGTAATGGCATTAAAACAAATATATAAGAAATAATTTATTTGCCATGAATTAAGTTTATGATATTTGAAGAAATGTGTGTTCATGCCCCAGTCAGTGAAAGTGTTTTTCCTACCGCTAGAGTTAACCAGTCTTCAATCCAAGCTGCTACGGTTCCTAAAATCCCTGCAGCTTTGAGCTTATGCAAGAGCTGTTTGTGGGGGACAACATCAAAGGCCTTCTGGAAATCTAAGTAGATCACATCGTAGGCCGCCTTGTGATCTATTTCTCTTGTAGCTTCCTCAATTAACTCAAGTAGATTAGTTAAACAGGATCTACCTCTCCTAAATCCATGTTGGCTATCCTTTATAATGTTATTTGCATCTAGGTAATCTACCATTTTCGCTTGAATTATAGCTTCCATTATTTTTCCAGTAATGCTAGTTAAACTGATTGGCCTATAGTTTGCTGGATTACTTCTATCCCCTTTTTTGAATATGGGTGTTATATTAGCATGCTTCCAGTCAGAAGGTACCACACCAGCAGATAAGGATTTCTGAAATAGTAAAGTTAAAGGTTGGCTAATAAGATCCCTCATCTCTTTTAAAACTATAGGTAAGATGCCATCAGGCCCCTGCGATTTATTTATTTTGAGTTTAGCTAGGCTTAGTATCACATCAACCTCAGTTATACATATATTGGTCATATATATGATGCTGTATTTGTACTAAATGGTGGCAGGTTGTTTGTGTTCTCTACTGTGAACACCTGTGTAAAATAATCATTAAACTCATTTACTATATCAATTTCATTTTCAATTATAAGGCCCTTACTATCCTGCAAATTAGTGATTTCAGCCTTTAGAGCTCTTTTGGAGTTAAAATATTGGAAGAAACTTTTAATGTCATCCTTAGCCTCCAATGCAATCTTCCTTTATACATTCCTCTTAGCGAGTCTAATGTTATTTTTTAACTCAACCTGTAGACTTAGATACTCTTGCTTTATTTTGAAATAATTAGTTATTTTCCATTTGTGGAAGAGAGCCCCTTTCCTCCTGACTTGATTCTTAAATTTCCATAGTAAACCACCTTGGCTGCAATTTCCTAGATTTAGTTTTGCTGGAAACAGGTATGAAGTCCTCCTGTACTTGCAGCAACATGCTTTTAAAAAATGCACATGCCTCTTCAACTGTTTTGTTAACAGTTTCTAGTTTGAGTCTCATACCATTAAAGTTAGCCTTCCTCACACTGTATACTTTTGTTTTGGACACTAAAATTAACCTCAAATTTAACCATGTTATGATCACTACTGTCAAGTGGTTCTAAAACCTCTAATTTTCCAATCCTATCCTGGTTATTAGAGAAAACAAGATCAAGAAGGGCTTCTCCCCTGGTAGGGGTATTAACAAATATGAGTAAAAAAACAATCCTGTACTAATTCCACCATCTCAACTTCATTTACAGAAGAGCCAGAGACTGTGTCCCACTGTATCCCAGGTAAATTAAAATCACCCATAACCACCACATCATTTTTATTACTCATAATCCTGATATCATCATATAACATACTGCTTTCCTCTGCAGCTACATTAGGTGCTCTATAACAAACTCCGACAATTAGGTCATTTGAGTCTTTAGCATCTAGTTTTACCCATACAGCTTCTGTACTTTTATTTTTATCAGTGAGCTCCCTTGCCTGCAAGTTTTCTTTTATGTACAGTACTGTGCAAAAGTCTTAGGCAGGCAAAGAAAATGATGTTTAGATTATCCTCGTGTTGGTGTAAAACTATGATATTATTCCTGTCAAAGTGTGTCAGCGTAGCCACTTCAGAACCTCTGCTAAATCATCCCACTACTTGCAGCAACCGCCCAGTGCAGCCATGTATTTTTTGACTTGGCCACTCGCACACCTCATACAGCTAGTCAATC